ATGTGGCTCGAGTGATGCCCAGCAACTTGGTGAATCGTATTGTTTATTATTTACCTATTTTAGGAGGGTGGGGTATTAATCCCATATGACTTTCTGCTTTTTTACATTGGTTTATACTTGGCTTTCACTAGTGTGACATTCATCTGTAACCCTGTGGTCAGTCTGCTGTGAAAATAAACGTATTGTATAATCTGTATCCTGTAGGCAAAGATGAAGCAGTTGTTTGAAGCATGGTGAAAACTGTCCGATTGTCAACAGCAGGCATGTCAGTGGGTTTTGGTGAGGCTCTGATCTAATTGGAAAATTACAAACTGGAGTCAAAATTAATAAATTCATAGGAAATCTTGAACTCGGTTGCTCAAAATATAATACTGAGGACAATACTCTGAGATCTTATTTGTACGCCTTGAAAAAGGTCGTCATTACTTTTATTCCAGTAGTGACCATTTCCTTCACAGTGTTGATGAAATGTGAGTCAGTGGGATGGGATGGAAGTTCTGTATGCCTGGAAATGGATGCTGAGCGGCATCTAGGGAGGAAGGTGGAATAATCTGCAACAATTTGGGTTTTTTCTAATAATACTTATTTTTAAATGCCAGCATAGTAATTTGCTGCTCATGGAAAGACTTTGGACAGGTAAAAGCAACAGAAGTCTACAGGTAAAGTGCACACAGTAATTTATTAATTTTGGTTGTCTTGAGGATACTTTTTTGCCAGCTTTCTCATTGTATTGAAATACGAACCTGCAGATGGGGGTATTGAAAATTGGAGGGGTGCTATACTGAAATCTAATCTAAACCTCCCAATTTTCAAGTATTCTGTACCTTACCGTCCTTCCTCCTGAATGCCCTTCTTCCAGATTGTTTTGAATGCGTTCTTAGAACATGCACTATGTTCATTGTTCATGTTTTTTTCTGTAGAAAAAGAATTTGAAATAGTTCTGCAGAAATACCTGTTCCTGTTTCTTACATAAGCCATCTCTCTCAGACTAGTACTCCCATAAAAAGCCTTAGCTGTTAGTAGTCGTACTGAATACACTTCCTCTTCAGGGATGTCAATCTGTTGACATAACCACAGTTCAATACTAAGGTTTTGTATTTTTATGTTGGATGTTTTTTGAATTTTCTGAAGGTGAAAGTGGTCGCCTGGGATGTGCACTACACGGGTCTTGTAGTAAGTCACCTCTGTATCACAGAGGAGGATGTGACATGGCAGTTATCCTGACAAAGCCCCTTCTGTAACTGTTGATACCTTATTTTCTCCCAGCCATACGTGCAGCTTGCTGAAGATGATAAGGTTCAGTACGAGGATGAAATGCAGTTGTGGGAAGCAAAAATGGTCAAACTTGGATGCGAAGACCTGATACATTCCAGAAAGCCAAAGCCAGAAAAGAAAACTGCTGAAACCTGTAAACAAAGCTGAAACAGCCAAAGCTTCTTCATATGAAAACGAGGCAAAGTTAAAGTTGAAAAAATCGGAAGAATTAAATGGTTAAGTATTTTATATTTGATGCCCTTTGGTTGTCATGTCTTTGTCCTGCTGTGTTAATGCTGCAGTCTGCATTAGCACCAAAATTTGGAGAACCCATAAAGGGCCCACTGGAGAAGCAGAAAAGATGGTCAGGTAAGAGAGGATGCGGTATCTCTCAGAACTGACTGAAATAATCATTGCAGGTGTAGCCTCAACTGTACAACAGTAACTGGTTAATCAAGCTGTGAATAGTGATACTCACTGACATCAGCAGAGCTCTCCAGTAATGGTAGATAACGGCTAGCTTTTACAAGATATTTTTAATGAAAGCAAGAATATTCTGCAATGTTACCATCTAAATGCTGTAAATAAGAGCTGAAATCTGAGTTAATGCTGCTGTGTTTTATTCCCTCCATGGTATTGGTAGCGAAATGTTCTACATTTCAACAAAAGGCACGGGAAAGGTAAAATACTAACTTTTATTTCATGCATCTGTCTTTTTGTACGAATCAATCAGTGTATGCCACTTATGTTGCATTTCATTAAAGACCATATGAGTTTTGTGTAAACGTATCTTTACATGACTTTTATTCCATGGCTTGCTTTGGATACATGCAAACACTTTTGCCTTCCTGTTGTCACATTTGGGACAGCCTGGAAGGAAGAGACTATGTGTGAACGGTTAGAACTTTGAGTTTTGATGTAATAAATGTAGGTATTTTGAAGAGGTGCTTGTTTTTGTTTACCGGGGTCTGTCTGCCTTAGTGAAAGCCTCATAGGAATTTGGGGAGTCTATTTTTAGAAGGCAGGCAAGCTTTTTCAGTAGGCAGTGGATTTCATCCATCCCGAATGACTCACAAAATCCAGCAAAGCTTCGTTTCTACCAGTGGGAAGTGCAAAGCCAAAGAGGAGTTGCTCGCCTGTTTGTTTTATCTGTTTGTGTTCCGCTGGTTTTAAAATGTACTGCTGCTAACTGTGTCTGAGCGCACCTGGCTTTCCTCCTTCGCAGGAGAACACAGAGCGCGTCCCGAGGGCGGAGGCTCTCGCTCCTCAGCAGGTTCCCGGCCCGTCCCCGAGGGGCAGCCGCCCGCACCCAAACCGTCCTCGGAGCGGCGGGGGGGCGGCGGGGGAAGCCGGGCCGGCTGCAGCCTGGCCGCCGGCGGCTGCGCAGCTCCTGCCCGCTCCAATTAATTGTGCGGGAAGCCTTCCCCCTCCCCTGCCGCCCCCCGCGCCCGCCCGCGGAGCGGCTGCAGCCGCGGAGGGGAGCGGAGCGGAGCGGAGCGGGGCCGAGCGGCGCGGCGCGGCGCGGCTGAGGGGGGTGAATCCCGCCCGCCTCCCTGAGGGCGCTGCCGCCGTCGCGCCACGCATGTGTGGCCTCAGGCTCGCGAGGGGCGGCCGGGCGGGCTGGGGCTGCTGGAGCCGTGCGGGGCCGCCCGGGGCTCTGCCGAGCGCTGCCGTGTCCTGGGCGCCCGCCGGCGGGCCTCGCCGCGGGAGATCCGCCGCGGCTGCCCCCGCGCCTCGCTCCGCGTCCACCCCGGCCGCGCCGAGCCCCACGCCAAGGAGGCGGCGACGCGGCGGTTCCAGGTGCGGGAGGCTGCCGGCCGCCCCGCTGCTGCCGGCCTGACCGGCCGGCCCCTCTGTGCCCGCAGATCCTGGGCAAGGCCTACGCCGTCCTCAGCGAGGCGGAGCAGCGCGCCCTGTACGGTGAGCAGGGCACGGTGGGCGAGGAGGGCGAGGTGCTGAGGGGCGAGCGGGACTGGCAGGAGTACTGGCGGCTGCTCTTCAGGAAGGTAAGAGCTGGGCCGGGCCCCGCAGGGCTCGCCTGGGCGGGGGCAGGCCCTGCGGGAAGTGGGGAGCTCCCTGCTTCGGGCCTGTGGCCGTGCCTCCCTGGCGAGCTGCGGGTAAAGCACGTGGCTTCTCTTGTTTTGTTTTGGTTTGGGTTTTATTAACACTGTCTCTGAAATCTGTCTGGTGTATAAATCATGTAACTCCAGAAGTGTCACTTCTTTGCTTCAGATCACAGTGAAGATATTGCAGACTTTGAAAAGAGCTAGAAAGATTTGGACAAAGAGCTAGCTGTTATTAAAGCAGCATATGTGGATTTTGAGGGTGACCTGGACAGAATAATGGAGTCTGTGTTGTGCATGGACTATACAGATGAACAAAGAATACGGAAAGTCATAGAAAAAGCCATTGACTGTGGAGAAGTCCCATTCTACAAAGGTTTTGTAAGAGAGGCTAAGCAGAAAATGATTGTGAGAAAAAAACGGGTAGGTTATATCAATCCGGGACCAAAGGGAAGCATTTTTTTTATGATAAGCTTTTAATCTTCCTTGTTAGATGCGGAGCCGCGGACGAACAACACGCGGAGACGGGTTCAGTGTGGGTGATAGAGCATCAATCAACGTGTGTCTTTATTGGTCCAGGGTACATATATTTATACAGACAATGATAATTATTATGCCTACTAGTCACTAGCTGATTGGCTTAAGGTCGTATTCGCACGATCCACCTACTTGCAGTTAGCTAACAGCACAAGCTTCTCATAACACTAAGTTTCTCATGCTACTATTTCTGATTCCTGTTGACTTGTTTTCGATACACGATAGTACCATAACACAATGTTTCTCAGACTACCATTACCATAACACTGGGTTTCTCAGACCACTATTCCTAATTCCCCTTAACCTGCTTTCGACACACCATGGTACACAGGGCTGAAGCGTCCTTGACATTCCTCCTGTATCAGCAGCTGCGAGCAGCTGCAGGCAAACCCTAGTGAGGCTCAGCATCAGCAGCTAGAGCAGGCTCTGATCATACAATTGCTCGGTGGGCTCAGGACCCTTGTCTCTGAGCCATTCTCCAACAGTTAGAAATAAATGGAACTGTTCTTGAGGCGAATGTTTGCCACAGGATTTCTGGGTTACAGAACTTGCTCTGTGTCTTTGACTTTCACATTTGGACACCTGTGGTCTCCACCCTTCCCCCCCCCCCCTCCCCCCCCAAATTGTTGTGACAGGCTTTTGAGCTGTGATAGGCTGCTGCCAATCTTTATTCCTCTGTTTTATTATTAATTCTTTATTATTATACACAATGGCTTATTACAGTTTAGCATGTCCCTGCATTTATTTACACAGCTATGAGTTTCTGGAGTTCAGTGTATGTGGTAGAAGTACGTTATGCTCGCCTTCTGGCGAGTGTGAAATAACATTCTGGACTAAATGGACCTCTTCTTCAACGTGGGGTTTTTTGAACACTTTGTAGATCTTACATGCACATCGCAGTAACCGTTCTCTAAGTTAAAGAAAATATAATAGCTGCCAAGACAAAAAAAGTGTGGGTGGGGGGAACAGGGATAGGCATAGACATCACATTCAGCATTGTGAAACAACAAAAAACTGTCCCGCTCTACTAAAGCCAGAATGGTCTTTCTTTCACCAGTTTGACATCTGTGGCCAAATTTGGAAACGATTTGTGTTTCCTTGCAGCTAGTTGTATACAGACTTTAAAAAAAAAAAGTGTTTCATAACTATTATAAGACTGTGTCAAAAAACTTGCAAAATACTTGTTAAAAAACTAGTTTGCTATTTTCGGCAGAAAAAGAAGCTAGAGAGGCAGAAGAGACTAAAGCTGAACTGGGACTTGGTGGAGAAGATGATTTGAAAGCACTGATTCGAGTAAGGCTTTTTCTATCTGCTGAAGAGAAGTATGTTACTGGCCTATAATTCTGTTCTCCCTGAGCCTCTTTGTAGTTTGGATCCTTGCAACTTGAGAGTTCTGAGGTTAAAACCTGACCTTAATGTTAGCTACCTATGTACTTTACTTAATAGTCAGTGTGGTATGGATTTTACTGCCTGCATCTTTTGAAAATTAACAAAGTTATTCAAATATCCTTATGGTATACGCAATCAAAATATTTAACTTCTAGTTTTAGGTAGTTAGGGAGTATTAATGATTCTTTCTCTGAGGGATTCCATCAGGATGTAGAAGCTGATAGGTCTTACTGTTTTGTATCTTGAGGACCGAGGAAAGAAACATACTGTTTACATTCTGCTTTTTGGAATGTTTTCTGTTTCTCATCATCCAGTGGGCTTCCTAGAACATTCATGCTTAATCATTCCCCAAACTGTAGTAGAGTTTTGGGTCTAAACTTAGAAATTGTTTTGCTTTTCCTAGGCTTATGTTGGGAATTTTTATAGCCACTTTACGTCTGTCTCGATACTTCAGGAGAAGTTAGGTATAGAGCCTAGAGTACACAAGTAGAATTTTGCTTGATGGTACTATACTTTGTATTTTATTATATTTGTATTGTATTATATTGCTTGCATTCCCTGTTTAATATATTCCAATATTTTATGTAGCTGTCATACTATCAACTTCAATAGAATAATCTGTACTAGGAAGTAGTAAAAGTTTTGGGTCAGTTTTCTTTTTTAATTTCCTTTCCCCCAGAGCAGAAATAAAGATCAAAAAAGGAAATGGATGACTTTTTGGCCCAATGGGAAGCAAAATATGGGAAAAATGCTGCCAAGAAATACGGGACTGCAGCCAAGAAAGGAAAGAAATAAAGAACTGTGTAGGCTGAGATACCAGGTATCATTTTGTATGGGATCATGTGGATTTGGGAGAATTTCAGAGTTTTTCTGGGCTACTGTTTCAGAGTGTGTGCATCAGTTTGCTGTGACTGGGAGGTATGATACAGAATGCATCATGAACAAGACAAAGCATTCTGGTGCTACTCTAAAAATCCTTTCGGTGCTCTTCGGTTAGGATCAAACAGATTCCTGAGTAAAAGTTGTTACAGTAAGGAAGCGGTGTGAGGTTTGGGACCATGGTGTGTTTATTAAACTTCTTTGGAAGCACCTTCCTTCCAAACACCTAATGGATATTGGTTCAGTTGATGGTAAAATGGTGTAACCCCTCACCTTTGAGAGTCTTCAGTGGCGATTCCTGCGGTTTCCGAGTTGGAAACCTTATCTTTTTGCTAGTCACATGTTTCTTACGTAACAAGCCTTCTGTTGTTTTTTAAGTCTTTGAACTTCAGATCAACAGGTATTTTCAGTGGCTTTCTAAAGATACTTTGGAATATTGCAGATTTAGTAAAGGAAAAGTTTTCGTAGAATTTTGTGCTAAGTTGCTTCCCCAGCCCTCTCTACGTTTTCTATGTAGCTGTTCAAAACAAACTGATTGTGTCGACTCTTCTGACTGATTTAAGTCAAGTAAATACTGCACACTTGTATAGCAGCTGTAACTATGGCTGCATTGTTAACTGCAATGTCAGTGCTGGTGATGCCATGTTCCATGAAAGGGCCAGCTTGTGTTTGGCCTTGGATTGCCTGTGGCAGATGCATTAGGAAGAAGACTGCAGCATGTATGTCACTGTAGGAATCCTCTGACACACTGAGGTGAGGCAATAGCTGAAAAATCCACAGGAGAGAGTCAGTTCTGTGCATTTCTAGGGTTTGTGATGTCCCGTGACAAGGAGTTCCAAAGCTCAGAAATGCATTGCTTGTTATTTCAATAGCATCACAGTCAAGTCTGCTGTAGGGTGGTAGTGATTAGCTACTTCACTATATTTGTCAACCCTTCTGTTATTTCAGAAGTGAATTACTTAAGCAGGATCTGCAAATACTTGAAAGGTTTATGCTTCAGCTGTTTTTAAACCACCTGACAGTGTGGGGGGGTATTAATTTGAAGGGTAATTAACTAGTTTTCAACTCTGTCTCAAAGGGATGAGGCTGGCTTTATTTTGTGGATCATTTTTCAGAGGCTTATGAGCGACAAGGTGAACATTTGCTTTTGAGTTGAAAGTCCTCACTGCTTCAGTGATAGCATTCAGGAGCTGGCTATTTAATAGAGCTTCCCAAGGGGAAGCTAGAGGTAGATGGTAACTATTCCTTTACGTGGCTTCTTTCAAAAATTATCCTGATTCTGAGAGTGCAGTCTGTGTTGCACAACACATGGACCTGAACATTACTTTTGCTTTACAAAATAGATACCTACCAGCCCAGAAGTCTCGTGTCAACCATTTGTACAGAAAACAAAAATTACCTTATGGTGAGACTGCTTTCACTTTTTTAACACACTGACTCCTCTTAGCTATAAAATACTACATTATATTACTAGAAGTCTGTTCAAGTTTATTTGTATATTTTTGTAACTCTTATGCACTAGGGCTACAGAAAACTAACTTGCCCCCTGAGGAATGGCACCAATATAAAGGGGATGCTTATCTCCAGTGAGCTTGATGTTACTAAATGCCACACAGTACAATGTTCCAGTAGTCTCAGCTGTTAAAAGTAATTGTACTTTGAAAGGGTTTAGTGAACAGAGGCCTCTCTTTAGCATCAGTTTACCTCTTTGCAAACCCAAGAGATTTCAACTGAGACCAGAGGTTTTTTACTTTTCACCCCTCTAGAAATGCAAAGGAAAGCTAACTTAGTTACATTTACACAGTTCTGCTTTGCTTTCTTTTCCCTTCTTTTTGAGTAAAGCATGCTTGGATCAGCTGGACTCAATAACTTCAATATTGATTAAAAATTATTAGCTGTTCTGTAGGTACCACTAACATCTGATAGATTACATAACAGTGGGATAGTAGGAGCTACTTCCTAAAGAATACTAATTTTTTCATTATGAATTGTAATTTAGAAAACATTAGTAAGGGAGATTCAGAAAGAAAGTGCTTTTTAATTGGACAATTTTTGAAAGGAAAAACTGTTTTCATGCAGCGTCCTAATTTTGTTAAAATACATTAAGTGGTTATCCTCACCTCGTCTGTACGCTTATTTGTCATCTGGAGTTTACTGTTTTGGGAGTAAGACCTTCAGCTAATCACTTAGAAGCGTGTATTTCATGTTTTTGTCTAATTTGGAGCCACAAGGGCAACTGCAGCAAATACCACTGATACATCTGTCACAGTGCAGAACCCATCTACTAACAACGTCGTTGCATCTGTGGGTTTGGAGCCTCATGGCAGAGTGCAGAAATCTTCGGTAATTGCAGGCATTTTTAGAAAGGGAGACTGACCTATTTTGCAAAATTACCATGAAATATCCCGCCAGGAAGACAATGTACGTTCTTTGAATACTGTCTGGAACTACTTGCAGTAAGAGTCCCTTCTGCCTCTTCCACCCTCAGTCAGTGAGGAAGAGGTCCTAGTATGTAACACAGGAAGAGTCACTAGTGTGCTACCCTTAAAGTCATCAGTTCTGCTCAGCTGGCTTGCTACCTTATTTTTATACAACTGCGTTGATATCTGCTGCAGTTATTACAGGATTCATAACTTGTCTAAGTTGAGTTGTAGAAGCAGCAACGTGTAGTCCTTGCTTTTGATAGTATAATGTTGCTTTAAACATATAAATACAGCTTTTAACATTGAAATTACTGCTGTTACGGAAAATCTTTCATCTTCTGTAGAGCTAACAGAAAAATTGGCAGATTCTGCAGTACTTGCCTGTAACAAGATGAACAGGTCATAAGCCAGTAATGGGAAAACAACAACGGCTGAGTGTGTTGTCTGGATTTTCTAGGAGTTAGGCTTTACTGCCCACTGGAGTGCATTTACCCTTCCACTGGAGTATAACTACTTCTACTGGTGGCAAATGGAATGTTTTAAGTATACCCCTTCTAATCTTTGGCAACTGCTTCTTAGATTGATAAAAAAATAACTATTCATAAGGATGGGTGTTTGAAGACTGCTGTAAACAATGTTGACATTGCTGAGAATGAGAGCTGGTGCATGACTCTGGCCATGGATGGACACTTCTTCATGGCATGTTTAGAACCCCTGTTTGCTTTTTGTGACTGATCCACCTCGACTGTGGGCTTTCAGAGAACCATGCAGCTGAAGACCTAATAAACAGAGATCATGTACAACTTTAGGACTTTTGAAAGGTATTAAAACTAAGTGCCAAATACATCTCCTTTAGCTTAAAACTAAAATGCTTTTTTTTGTCGGTGTTTTTTTTTTTATTCTAATATCAACTGTGTTACGTATGACTTATGCAAGTTTGAGACAAGTGCCTGGCCATCCAAAAGAGGCAAATTTTATGCTTTCACAGTTGCTGCATTGCAGGCAACTACTGTATTCCTTGGTATTTCATGAAGTGTTCAAGTCTACGAAGTTCTTCTGCTGATTTCAATTTTTTTTTTTGTTAATACATCAGTCAAAACTCAGCTTGCATTTAAAGATACTGGGGTTGGATTTTTGGGGGGCGGGGGAGGGAGCAGATTTCAGTAGGAACCATTCCTGTCTTGCTTAAAAACCAGTTACTTCAGTTTAGTGCCTTTCAGTTGCCTCTTGTACCACTTGTAAGTGGTAGGAGGCCACTCAGCTACTCAACAAGCTAAAAGACCCCTCCTGTCCTCTGACAGTCACCCATGTACTTGCTACCTTAACCCTTGCAGCTTCCATTAACTTTTGCAGCTTCATTCCTATCTTGTTAGTGTATTTTTATGTGGGGAATGCTGACAACTCTATAAGGAGTCCCAAACCACTGCGATGAAATGAATCCAGAGTCATTTGTCTTGACGGAGCTAGTTTTCAAAATGTGCACCTAACCCCCTGCTCTCTGTGCCACCCTTTCCAGGTGGAGGTGATACTTGGCATCAAAACAAAGTTAAGTTAACAGGGAGTGCTTAAAAAAAAAGCTGTTCCGGGGCACAAAAGTTAACTTTTTCTCTGAACAAACTCCCTTTCACCTGACTAGACTAGAGCTTGTGTGTGCCATGAGGTAAAAAACCTAAATCTCTGCTAGTAAAGTTGAAATAAGTAAGGTTCATTGGTTGACTGTAACACTGGTGTACACGTGTGCAACTAGTCTTGTCTGCAGTAGACTTTCATTCTGCAGCCACATCAGCTTGGTGTGGGTGATTGCTAGTCACAGAGTTTCTTGGCAATGGATTTAAATGAAAGGAACTTACTTTTTCATTACCACAGATTTGTTTAATTTTTTTTTCTTTTTTTTTTTCCCACAAAACTCTTAAAAGAAAAGGGGTGGAACACAACACAGAAATTAATTGCAAACCTGTATCTTGACTATCAGGGCCGTATTTTCCTTCCAGTTGAGGGAACAGAAGGAGTGAGGAAGTCGATAATGTTGCATTCAGTTCTTAGGATGGGGAACCAACAGAGGTCATGTGTAGCACCTGAAACAATGCTTTTCAGTTCCTGTCCTGTTCTTCAGCGGTTAAATTATGCTGATTCTCCTGAAGAAAATCTCTAGTTGAAGAGAAATATTTGCTATTACTGTTATTAAGGAAAGCAAATACATTGGACCAAACGTGTTGCAGTTAAAATGGGGGGGGGGGGGGTATTTACTGGTTGGATCATGGTCTGTGGCATCTGTATTTACCTCATCTCGCATTTAAAAAAAAATGTGCTGTTTTCTGTGTTATTTCTCTATTTGTACTTTGGTATTCTCTATATTTAAACATGTGCATTTGTATATTAAATTAAATTTTCCGCTGCCTAGTGTGTGACTGTTCTGATCCTGTCTGATGAGACTGTTTCTACCTGCCAGATGTTCCTTTACAAAGGAGAGCTGCACCTCATCCCGCTGTCGGAGACCCAGGAGCAGGAATGTGACCTATCTGCCACCACTCTGACAGTCTCGCAGGCGGTGACGCTGTTGTCCACCTGTTCAGAGGAGTTCCTGGCTGCAGAGCCCATCCCAACAGCAGTGCAGAAGCGCATCAGTGGGTATGTGGGTGTTTCAC